GGTTATAAGTACCTCAGGGAAGCAGCTGATTCCAGCTCCCCCACAAATGAAATCCTTCAGCAAATAAGCAAGCACCGAGATCCCACAGTCCCCATGGCGACAAAGCAAACCCAGAGCGCCTCAGAAGTGAGTACAGCTTTGGAGAGCAAGTGGGAAAAGCAGGGCTAGGAAATGGAAGCCTGAGTTTGGGAGAAAGGATGCTTTGCCAAGCTGGTGATCTTTGCTTTAGACCATGTGTAAAACCTCCAGAAGACTGTCTTCCCTCCCCAGGTCAGATTTTTATACTCTCATTCTGGAATGTCCAGAAAGTTCCCTCTGCTCCTGCAGCATGTGCAAGTCCATGACCAAAGCTGGTCAAACCTTCGGCTTGCATAATCTCACAGCTTCTTCTGACTCAAGAAGGCAAAGCTTCGCATTTTTACCATCAGTGCAGATTTATGTAATACTATGTACAAGAAACCAGACTTGAAATGCCTAGATCACAGTCTGCAGCACATATTGCAGGAATGGAGAAGCAGTGGAAGGGAGCAATGCATCATTAAGGCCTTCAGGTTTTAGTTGACAGGACAAAGCAAGGTGTTTCTTTCCCAGAGTCCTGTCAATTCAGTCTCAGAACACTGTCTGCATTTGGCCATGGAAAGTCAGATGCCAGGCGTCCATGCACACAACATTCACTACCCATTGTTTGCAGAGAAGCCCTCTTTTTTGGCAGCTTGAATTGGACTCCTTCCAGCACACATGCTTTTTGGTCATTCTTTGAGCTCAGCAGCCAGTTACAGGTTTCCATAGTGACAAGACTTAAAAGCTTGATTAATTCTCTCCATGGTCTTCTTCCACCCAGGCCACAATTTTCCCCTCCCAACCAGGAATGATGTCATCATCATGGAATACCTACAAAAAAAGGGAGTCCAGTCATGTCTGGAGTCTGGATACCACTCTTCTACAGTGTGAGTAGCATAAGAGGCTGGCATCAAGTCAGAGATCCTAGCTCAGATTTCACTACACAGCCCAGAGAAAATATACCTCATCCATCATTCACGTCCGAGTAATCTTTTCAGGTTTTAGGTAAAAAACAGATTAGGCCCCTTCTTTAACCAGTAACCATCAAGATTATTATTGGCATGTTTTTGACAAGAAAGGTAAAATAAAGACAGGAAACATGCCTTTTCTGATCTAGACTACAATCTTGTTGCTGCAGCAACATTCTGCAGCTGTTTCTGCAGAATGGCTGCCTGGTCAGCTGACTGTTCCCAGAGAGTGTAACCCTTTGCACTTGTCTTAATTTGTGAAACAGGAACTATCCCAATAACCTTTAATGAATCCAATCCACACCAACATCAGCCTGAGCATAAACAGGGCTGTAGTGCAGTACACAGAGGAAAAGATGCCATAAACAGAGTTATCTCTGAAAAACCTTTAAAAAAAAGCAGGAGAATGTATTTTGAATAAACCACATTTGCTTGAAGGGTCTCTCATTGCAACAGGTTTTATAAAGCCACTTGAAGGGCTAGAAGTGTAGTCTGGGTTTTTGCCCGGTATCCCCTGAGCAGTGCTGTGTCACAGACTGTCTTTGCCAATAGCCAGCTCTTTGCCCAAGGGGCTCTGTAACCCCCAGGCAATTGCAATCACATTCATATAATTGCTCTGGCTGGGGATGAAAACATCCCATTTTAGCACCTTACAAGAGGAGCTTAATCTATAGTTGTGAAAATAGACAGTCTGTTCGGGGGCAAGTTCAAAGATTTCATTAGTTTAGAAGTGGGGTGACCACAGTCTCCAGGGTTGTGTGGTAACACTGAACACAAAGTGGCTGATATAGCTAAATTCCACACTTACCTCCTCCTTGACTGTGCCAAACTCTGGATCCAGGGCTTTGAAGTGGTACCGGTGGGTTCCTTCACGATCAATAGCTACCTTAAAATCCTTCAGAGTCACTTCCCCTAACCTGCAAGGGAAGAGTTTGGCACTATCCCATGGCACACCATTACCAGATTTAGCTCAAGTGTTACTACATGACATGCAGAGCCACAGCACAAGTCTAGCTAGGCATGTGGCACCCTGGCCACAGGGATGTGAAGAGTGTGCCCCTCCAGGAACACATCTGTCAATTCCAAGGTCTTCTTCAGAGGAAGAATTGCCTTCTGATTTACTAAGAACCACCTCAAAACTGCCTTTTTCACTTTCCCTTTTGCTTTGACAACCATAGTTGTTTTGACAGGAGTGTCCTGCACTACGTGCCACAATAGAACTGCTTGGCTGCTTTCTCTTGCTCTTGGAAATTGATAAAAAAGAGGTGAATCTCTTAGGGCTCTAAATCAAATGCATCAGCTCGGAGACTGCTTTAGGCAATCTTCCCCAGACAATGGTATGAAATCCAATGCTCAAGTTAATGCACAGCAAACCTGTGCTAGTGGTGACCGTACCCAGAAGAGATCAGACTAATGCATTAAGGGAAACGAGCACCTCCCACATCAGTGTCAGGAAGGCAAAGCCAGTCCTCACCTCTTTGGTATGTTGACCATGAAAGGTGTGAGGGAGCGGTCAGTGAAGTATAACACTTTGGTGCAGGCACTGGTGCTCATCACGGGTGTGCTGTGAGAATGAGGCAGTTCTGCAAAGAAAAGAGCACAATCATTGGGGAACAGCCTGTCTCCTGCCACAACAGGAGACAAAAGGGGTGGTCTCAGCAAATTTGCCATCACAGCAGAGAACATGGTGATGGGAAGAGATTCTTAGGAGGGTTACTAATCATCCCTGTTGGGAAGGGCCAGCTATGCCCCTGCTTACTGGAAAACTTTGTATTACAAGGTGCATCCAACTGTGGTATTAGCATGGAAGATTTGCCTAGCACTGTCCTCCAGGATTACTGTCCCATCCACAGAGGGGCTTGCTGCCACCATCTACTCCACAGATACTCTATTCACTACCTCAGCAGTGACAGGAGAACCTTTCTGGAAGAGAAAATGACTGAACAGTACCCCATCCAGTATAGCTACATTATCACTTGCCTTCACTTGCAGATGGGTAGAGCAGGATGAAATGACTGATCGTCATCAAGGCAGAAGGTTATCTGTCTCCTCCCCATATTCCCATTCTAGTTGGCCAGGATGGGTGTTTGTGCATGGATTTTTCTTTGCTCATTTGTGTTTCTCTCTCTCTGGCTACTGCCTTGTTTCGTGCTTCCCTGCAATGTGCTGTGCCAAAAGCTGAAGCAGAGGAAGGTTCACACTGAGTCACTCTACAGTTTTAAGATTCCTAGCATGCAGAAAACATTATGGACACCCATTCAAAGGCTTTCTAATTTAGCAAGTCTTTGGAGCCACCTCTTAGAGCTCTTTATGCCCAAGACATTCTATGTTTGTGGCTGCTCAACTCAAATTTCCTGCTGCAGTGGAGGGGGATGGAGTCTGCAAAAAGGGAGAGGTACAGTTTGCACGCAGAGAACACATGACACTGGCTGCTCTAAAAACTGCAGTTTATGGGAGAGGAGGGAGAAGCCAGCAAATCCTCCCCACAACCCACTTCAGGCTTCTGAGTTCCTCTCCTACCTTCCTCCACATCTTGCACCTCCAGGATACCCTGCTGCTGGACACTACAATGCAGCTGAAAGGTGAGGGCCTCTGTCTTTCCCCAGTACCTACAGTCCCCTACAACCTCAGACTTTCTAGGTGACATTTACAACCAACATTGGAAAAAACAGCCTTCATGATGAAAAGCAAACGTGGAGCTGCTGCAGCTGGAGCCAGGAAACATGATGTCAGAAAGGACGGTGCTGTTATGTGTATATGAAAGGAGCTAGACACTGAGGGGGGAGCAGGGGAAGAGGCAACTGTAGTTATCTGTGTCCACTAGATGGTGCAAACCAGCAGGAAAGCTGAAATAACATCACATTTCCCACTCATCCCAGGGGTGATTGTTTACCATAGTTATTTATACTGCAGTGCTACCGAAGTGGCCCAGACTCCCACTGTATGGTGCTTTACTAACAAGCAGCCATAGATTGTCTCTGCCCCCTTTCCTTTGCAGTGAAGTCTAATCTGTACAGCAAATGACTGAAGGGAGGAAAGTGAGCTCTGGTAAAGGGAATAAGAAGCTGGAGGTGGCAGATTCCCAAGGGGATGCTATGCCCTGGACTGTGGCCAGGAAACCTGAGCAATTAATTTGGTAGTGGGAGGGCAGGAACTGAAAGGCACTTACTGGATTTGGGAGGCCAGGAGTCTCTACACTCATTTGTTGCTCTGCTTGCTGGTGATTTCCCCCGGATCTAGGATGCAAAGCCAAAAGAGTAAGAACAAAACGTCACTTCCCAGTTGGAGCTCTCATTGCTGCTTAGCTCTGGGTTGTGTGTGAGGGGCAGAAGTTAAGAGCCAAGTGCCTTAGGAAGCCTTTACCCTTCTCTCTTGCCTCTTCTGTGTTTCCATGCGGTACAGCCGTTCCATCAGGCTGGAGATGCCCTGCTCCAGGCTATCAATGGTGTGATGCTGTGGATCATGGCCACTGAAACTGTTCCTGAGGCTGCGAAGGGCATCACGAACCAGCTGCAGGTCATTTGTCTGCCCAAGAGACCACAAGTCAGTCAGACTAACTGCAGACTGCTTTCCTCCCATCTAAAGCCACAGGTCTTAGAGGAAAATCTCTCTTGACAAGATAATAGCTTCCAGGATATCTGGAGCCCTCATCTGCATCTGGCTGGGAAAATATTCCTTAGGTGCACTTACCCCTCGGTGGGCTGTGGGAGCAGCTCCTTTTCCTGCTGTCTGGAGGAAGCCATTGCTCTGACCACTATGACCGCTGTAAGCCATCACCTGTTCAGGGGAAGATGCATGTGCCACTAGGAATGTGTTAGGACCCCCCCAAAGATCCCAATTTGAGAACTTCAAAATGATGAGAGGGCGTGAAAGTTTTCCACATCAGTGACATAACTCCCATCTTCTACCAGGTAAATACACTCACTAAGGAGTGTGGCAAGCAGTCCTATAGGTCAGAGCACAAACGTGATTCCCCTCATACAGGTGGAGAAAGAGGCAGAGACAGGAAGAGGCTTGCTGCTACATCACAGAGGGCTCTGCAAGCTCTACTGAGCACAATCAGTGTTCAAGTGGCACTGTGCAGGGACAGATATT